CCAGGTTGCCGCCGATTCTTGGCAGTCCCTTGAAGTTCCAGCCCAGCGGATGGAAGAAGAAACGAACTCACAAAGTACCAATCTCCCGAAGAATAGCACAAAGCCCATGGATAATAGCCCAATGGAGCTGTTGGGCATGCCATCGCTACGAAAAAAAAAAAAAAAAAAAGAAAAAGATACATACAGATACAAAAATAAAGGCTAAGCGAGGTAAAAAAAGATAATTAACTTTTTTCTTTTAGCACTAAGTATGCCAAAGAGGAAGCACTAACAACAGCAACAGCAAGAAATTACAACACATTACAATGGATGGGGGTTCGGCAAGTGTGAGAGAGTTCCCTTGAGTCGGCGCTACCCATCTCTTTCGCCGCCCTGCTATCCGTCTCTTTCCGCCGCTAAACGCTTCAATGACTTTGTCATGCATAAATTTTGCAGGTTTGCTGAAATTTCTGCACTCCGCCAGGCTGGCAGGCGAGAATCAAATAAATTCCGGCACAAAACTCTTTTTCCCTGCTGCCCAAGTTCCGCTCGAGTACATAATACATGTATGTGCGGAAAAGGGGTATTTTTAATGATGACGCTTCCTGTTTGCCGGCCACACATATACTTATGAGACACCTTGAGCGCTGATAAGTCCCAGGCGAAGCTTCAATTGAAATTTGTACTTAATTAAGTCTGGCACGGCGAATCGGCTTTTCTTTGATCAGCGGTTGGGAAGGAATTCCGCGAATTCGTCAAGTAGACGATACTTGGCGCAATTATTCACTTATGATTAAAACTATTTTTTAAGTGCGGGAAAATAATATTCACCAATTTCAACATAGCAGAGGGCACGCATTTTGGAAAGAAAGACACATCCTAAATTTTAGGCTGTAGAAGTTCCTGTCTATAAGATTAACAATTTTAATTAAATTCCTGTCTATAAGATTAACATATGCAAAGTATGTATATTTTAAAATTCAGAATTAAGCTAGCCGAGATTCTGTACTAAATTCGACTTCTCTAATACTTTACTTAATATATGTACATTTCTCAAAATAATTTGTTATATCATATATCATAAAATATCATAAAATAATATTAGCGTAATATACAATACATCATGCAGCAGCGAAATAAAATGTGATTAGGTTTACAATAAATATAAGTTTCGGTTTGAATTTGGCTTTCGCTTGAATGTTAATGATTTTACTGACTTAGGAATGCATAGTCATGAATGTGTTTTCAGTAGGCAAGTAATTTCATAACTACAATACTTTCGTATAAAATCCAAGTAACGAATGGCTAACGAGCTCCAACAAAGTTGCATATTTTTCGTGTTATATATAATCATATTGCTAATGCGATCTGCATTCCATCGGCGCATTGTTTTAGTTACGGAAGTGCATATCCAGCCAGATGGCAAGGAAAACAAATTGATTGGCGGCAAATGGTTTAAATTTCTGCATAATTCAATGCGCACGCGTTCTGGTTTTAGATTCGGCAATTTTCTTCTCCTTTTTTCCCGCAGACACAGCTGCAGAAAATGGTCAAGAAACTTGGTGGGAACATCAAGGGAGGGGGACGCTGGAGGGGAAGTAGTTGGGTCTGCTCCGATTCGGAATCATTAAATAGACGACAGGCGAAATCGAAATTGCAGTGCCAAAGTTGCCGCCTGCTGTTGCGCCAGTTGCTGTTTTCCGAAAACAGAGATGCCAAGATACTTTTCTTATCTAGGTACTTACTTTAAGTAGTACAAATACACGGGAAGATAACTTTACTAAACTTATTTGATATTAGCATGTGAATCGGGCTCATTGTCCAAGCTTTTAAAACAAAACCTCTCAATACTTAATTTTATTACACATTAGTATCTGCTTTGCAGCCCTGAGATGCTCAATTTCAGAAGTTGCACACACATGTTTCATAATTTGCATACTAATTAGCCAATAAAAATGTATGAAAATATTTCAAGACTGTATACAGCCTAACTCATTTAAATAATAATAAATTATCCGCTAATTGATGGATAACGAAAAATGTGCACTGCAGTGGGTATCATTAAGTTGAAGTATATTAAAAGTATTTGTTCTGGTAACTACGAATAGAATTATTGATCTGATTTTTGCTAACTCTTCAATTACTTTACTTTATTTATATGGCGGGACCAAAAAATATACCTGGGTACCGAACTTTCGACTTGTACCTGAATCCTGCGCATCACTGGTGGCAAGTTGTTGTTGCTGGTGTCGCAGGGTTGTTGGGAAAATTTGAAAATTACCTTTAATCAGAGCGAAAATGAGATGGCTAATTTGAGTGTGCCGGAATCGGAATTTGGCTGGAAAATGGAAAATGCCGACTGTGGGAATTGCAGTTCCTGTCATTTCGGTCAGTGGGAAAACTTTTTGGCGTGGGTGGGCGACAGAGACAGCAGCTGTGCGTCCGAATGCGTCCCGTCTCTTTCCCGCCTCCTTGATCCTAACTCGATGGGAACTGAACTTGGTTCACATAAGCAAAAGAAGTCGCTGACCATGCCATGCAAAATTGCCCCTCAGTTTAAAGAGATCTAGTGCAGTGTATGAAAGTATCCTAGGTTTTATGAAACATAGTCGGGCACAAGATGGATGGGTTGTCAAAAATATACATCGTTTTTGGAATATGTCCTAAGATTTCGCCTGGTTTTTGAAAGAATGCCACTGGCTATTGGAATACGCTATGGAAAAAGTTCTAAAGTTCCCCTTAGCAGACTGATATTTACACCGGCTTAAACGTGTTTGATTTATGCGAAATATACCCGTTAAAAGTTGACACAGAACTTATGCTATCCTAAGCGCGTTGTAAGTGTTTTGCGAAGTGATCAGCGTTTTCTCGCCGTGCAGACAGAAAGAGAGGCAGCTAGCACGCGTTTCGCTCGCCTGTTTTGATCTATGAGCTGCGATTACGAGGCGCAGCTAAAAGCTGCACAAATAAAGCGCGGCGATCTGCTCAAGTTGATCCCCAAGTGAGGCAGCTGCTGCGGATTTCTACTCCGTGGCTGCCAGGCCAGCAGTTGCAAATGATGATGAGGCAGCGGCATCAACAACAATAACACCGCAACAACTGCAGCCACAGCAACGACGACAACTACAACAACGCGACTCGGGCCAGGAGGCCATGACAAGCGACAAGTTGTCGTTAGGCCCAAAATTAGATGCATTTTGTATGCCAGGCATAGATCGCTGGCGAGAGCAATAGCCTACACTGCGAGAAACGCAGGGCCCAACTGTCAAAAAAGCTCCCTTCAGTTGCAACAAGTATCTTCTGTCGTACAATCGCATTTGTACAAATGGTTTTGTTATACAACTCAGCGTGGGATATTTGGCAAGCCCAGTTACTCGCTTTCTGCCACTGCTTTCCCTCAGTGTAGCCATTCACCTATGTGGGAAAGAGAAGGCCAGACAGCGCGCTGACTGCAGTTATGGGCTTAGGGTAAACATTTGGCGACGCATCAATGCAGCTGGCCAAGAGCTACAAAAACAGCAACTACAACAACGCCATCGAAACATCATCCAGCAACAACAAGCACAGCGACGGCAACAACTACAACAACATTAAGCTGCAGCTTGTGGAGTGTGCAAATATTTTAGCAGCAATTTTCAGCTTAAATGCCTGCAAAACGAGGCGCATCGTGTGCCCAACAGCTTTTGGCGGCTCAGAGGTTTTCTTTATATTTCCCACTAGCATGTTGCATGATAATTATGCCTAGAAATTGGCATTCACATTCGAGCTGTGAATAATATGAGAAATTGTACTATTTCAGACTTTTAGTTCTTTCGGTTAAACAGTTAAATGGTTGTTATACTCTAAGAATAGTTCTAAAATACTCATTTGTGCTCATTTGTGCTCATTTGTATATCTTTTTTTTATTTATTTAGATAATATGTTTTCATGTATATAATATGTAGCATGTTGGTTGATAATTATGTCTAGAAATTGGCATTCACATTCGTAGCTGTGAATAATATGAGAAATTGTATATTACTATTTCAGACTTTTTGTTCTTTCGGTTAAACAGTTAAATGGTTGTTATACTCTAAGAATAGTTCTAAAATACTCATTTGTGCTCATTTGTATATCTTTTTTTTTTGTTTAATTATATATGTTTTCTAACAATCCGATTTTCGGCTGGGGGAAATGTGAACAGCATATGAATATGCAAGTGTATCTTGTGAGTCACCCGCCAATTAGTTGGAATCACACGCAAAAGGGGTTACTATATAGTTTTCCTATTATACCTGAAACTAGTTGTAGAAATTGGAAACAGTAAGACTGATTATGCACTCTGGTTCGAATGAAATAATAACTATTCTGTAATATGTATAATTAAAGGGTCTTATTCCAGCTAAGCTGTATTCTATACATAGTTAATTGTTACACAATCTACGAAGGAATCTTGTGAAGAACCTACATCTTACAGAAACCCCCAATCAATGGAAAGCATACGCAGATGGGGTTATTGAATTCGTTTACCTGGCAATTAAGTAATATCTGAAACGAGTGAGAGAAGCTTCTATATCTAGATATTCAGATAGTAGTTCAGATACTCTCTCTGGGCTGCGGGGAATTTCCTAGTGCTAATTGGTAAGCGGCGTACACGTGATGGCAATGACTCTTGATATCGGTTCATAGATCTCGCAATGCAAAACAGATACCCAGTTTTCAGTTGCAAAGATCTCAGATACATCAGCTCTCGCATTGCGTCAATGTGTGGCGACCTTAAGGCGGATCTTCGTAGATATCCCTTAATCGGATCCAAAGTTCGCTCTTTGTTTTGGTATTCCGCCGATTTGTCCCTGAATTTGTGCAGCAACCCCGTTCCCGATTCCAGTTTCCGTTATGCCCCCCCTCCGCCGAGATCGTTGCGTGTTGATTGATTTTATGCGAATTTCTGATACAAATTTATTAACAATTCAAATTGCAAGTTGAAGTTAAAATCTCAAGGCGAAAAGAACGGAAAGAGTTGTTTTGAAATTCAGCGGCTGTCAAACTGTTTTGGTTCGAGCCTATGGTGTGCTTAGCTCAGAAATCCACCGCAGTGGTGAGTTTCCTTGTCTGCCTAACTGGGCTGCGGTGAGTTTACTCATTTGAAATTCTTTTCAGATATCTTCCATTTACATTAATATTTTGGAAATTAATTGCTTTTTGGTATTATTTTTATCCCAGAAGTAATTATAACTTTTATATTAATTAATACCGTATTGTGGTTACCAACTACTTGCTTACATATTCAATCTTACGCTTTTTTTTGCAACTGATCAATTTTTTTGGAGTACTCAGCTGATGCTCGCTTGGCGCGAAGAGTAGCTTCATTTAAATCGTAAATCGAAAAGGGGTGATAGTTGTAGCTGAACACTTTCCTCTGCCCAGCAACAAGTTGATCCTGATGTTGAACACACTTTGGGCTTATGAAGTAGGGTAGTTTCATGGTGGTCGGTGTTTCCACTTCCTCAGCTTTGTGCTCCGTTTTTTCCTTGGGACTTGGGTGGGATTCAATCAAAGTCGGGAATCTGCGAATGTGGGTCAGTGGCCAGTGAGGAAGTTTATTTGCGCCGCCTCTCATCACGGTCCACATTTTTGCTGAACACGGAGCCTGGAAAATGGAGAGGTTTTTCGGGGTGACGGCCAAAAGTCAAAAGGGTTCGCTTACTAGCTTAGTTTTTTCTCGTTTTCTGAGCTGCTCGAAATCGGTTTTTGTGTGCTGCTTTGTTTGTGGCCCACGGACTTGACATTCGCAGCACAGGCAAACAGTTTTCCAGTTCTTCCTCACTTGTTTTGCTTTTCCCGCTTTTCCTTTTGGCCATGTCAGCCCATTGTCAAGCCGAAGGGCTTAAGGGAACCAGTCGGGCTGCGCTTTTGATGAACTTTTAAGTGATTTCCTGGCGAGGACTCACTTGCGTCATGCACAACAGCTGCAAGTAGCTCACCATGTCACTTCAACGGGGGCTTCTTATTTAATTTACCACATTTTGACGTTAACCGATGTCGAGGCGCCAAAGTTGTGCAGCTTGTCATTTTTTAAAGCTAAGCCAAAGCCATGAAGGGCATACGAAACTCAATTCCTGACTACGAATTCAATGTTAATCGTTCTTATTTGTGCCTGGCAATTCTGAGAATTGTTTAAATACAATTAAAAGCTATAAGAAAGAATTCAACGTTTTATTTCAAAGAATCCAGCCGCTTTCCCTGTTCAAAATAAGTGGTTGCTGATTTATTAACCGCTTAAAACTTAACTCAAAATGTGTACAAAGTAAAACTTGAGAATTTACTATCCACAATCCGCAATCGACCGCAACTTTCACTACCTTTTGCCACTTTGTTATGGCCTTGGCATCGCAACGGTCTCAGGAAAGCCAACCTTTTCTGCTCCCCCAGCCAAACACTCAAGCGCAACTTTATTTTAAGTGTACACGGGACAGACTTTATGGAATGGAGCAGAAAACTTTCGCCATGCCCCTGCTGTTTATTATTAAAAAATTTGTAGCCCTCCGCTGTCCCAAGGAAAAAGGTGCCAGGGCTTATGGCCAAGTTGCGTGCACACGTGGCCATGAAGGTTGAGTTGGGGGCAGAAAGGGGCGGCGAAAGTCGTGTGTGAAAGTGCAGCATCCATGACCAGAGTGTCAGAGTCCATGAAAGGCGATTAGGGTCAACTGGCGCTGGTTAGTTGGCCAGAAGGAGCCGCAACGGAAAATCCTTTACCACCTGTGGACGACACTCAAAACTGCTGCTGGTAAGTTAGCCTCACTTGATTGGCGGGTTGACATGAATTAAGTTTGCAAGGGAGCATGCGGACTTTGCTGAAGTCCAGCAGCCCAGCTTGAATAATCTGGTTTATTTTTTTTACGTTTTCACATTGATGCAGTTGACTAACTATAGAGTAACACAAAAACAATTAGACTTAGGACTAAAGTTAGCGGGGCAGAAGGCGTTAGAGCTTGGGTTAAATTCTTGGCAGAGTTTGCTGTATGCATTGGATGGGATGGAAAGCTGGGAGAATCACCAAAATCCCCGATTCTAGGCTAGGATCTAGCAGGTTCTAGTCTAAACATATTCGTGGTCCGGTTGGCAGATCGCTGAGGTCGCTGGTTGGAGTTTCGTATGAGTTCAGTTGAAGATTGGGCTGATTCACTTCCGAGGCTTTCATGCTCTGGAGGATTTACCAGTTCTTGGAACGACGTTCGCCGCTGCTGGCACGCAGCTCCTCGCTCTCCCGCCGACTATCCCGACTATCTGAGCGCTCATCCAGTCTGTCCAGCTGCCAGAGATCGTTGTTCAGCAGGCGGCGGCCATTGGACCAACTCAAGGCGGCTCCAGCTCGTGCGGCATTGCCATTCAGCCGGGTGGTTATCAATCCGTTGAGGTTTCCGGACTCCAAAAGCAGTGGCGAACTGATCAGCTGCGCCTGAACGGTGGCACTGGAGGGCTGACTGAGGATCAGCGGCTGGGAGCTGCGATCGATGGTGATGCGGGCATTGGGCAGCTGGCGCCAGGCCTCCAGATCGCGTTCCCTGGTCAGCAGAGTGGTGGTCCTCGAGGAGCTGCTGCTGCTGGCGGGCAGACGGGAGGCGAGCAAAGTGGGCGGATGGGAGACCACGGTGGCCTGAATGCTGGGCAGGCTTTGGGTCAGCAGCAGGGTCTGCTGGTCGAGCAATCGCTGGTTCTGGCTCTGGCGACGCTCCGCTTGCTGGCGGCGATCCTCGCGGTCACGCTGCTCCCGATCCCGCTGTTCTCGTTGTTCCCGCTCTCGGAGCTCACGGTCACGGAGCTCACGCTCGCGCAGCTCCCGATCCCGGAGTTCCTGTTCCCGCTGCAGGCGCTCGCGCTGTTCCCGCTCCCGCTGCTCCCGCTCCCGCTGCTCACGATCCCGCTCCTCGCGATCCCGCTGCTCCTGGAGCCGCTGCAGATCCCTCAGCTGCTGCTCCTGCTGCAGACGCTGCTGCTCCTGCTGCTGCACCTGCTGCTGGAACTGCTCCATGAGCTGTTGGGCCTGGTTGCGTGCCTGGTTCTCCGATTCGCGACGACTCTGCGCCTCCAGCTGCAGTTGGCTGGCTTGTTGGGCCTCGGCCAGAGATTGGGCTTCCGCAATGGCCTGGGCAGTGAGACGGGTCTGCAGTTCCTCGAGGCTGTTGAAGCGGGACGAACTGGAGGTGGAGAGCCTTTGCTGCTGCTGCTGGTCATCCAGACGCTGCTTGGACACTATGGCGTTGAAGCCACTCACATCGTCGGCCGTGTACTCCACAATGCGACGGGTGCCATCGGGTTCGATCAGGGAGTACTGACCCTTGACCAGGTCGCCGTCGCGCTTCTCCTCCTGCCGCTTGTCGTCGCCGGTGAGCGAGTCCCTCACATCGTAGGCGAAACTGTACTGCGGACGCGTGTCGTAATCCTCGCCAGAACTGGGCGCCAAGGTGGTGGCATCGTCGTCATCGTTGTTATCATCTCGGCTCAGATCCCCACGCAGTTGCTGCTGCTGCTGGAGGTTGGAGGACTTGGCGAGCTGGCTAAGATCGATTGGACGCAGGTATGCCGAGTTGGCCACATTGCAGGTGAGGAGACTCAGGCAGAGCAACAAGTATGTCTGTAACCGGAAAAAGGATTCACACAGGATTCGAATTAAATAGCTGTCCGGCATAAATCACCCGTTGGCCTCATCAATTTGTCATTCCACAATGGCTCTCCCTTTTTATTTGTTAGTTGCGAAGGGTCATAAATTAAAAACGACAACAGGCGATACAAGTGGCTGAACAAAAAATGCCGGGGATTTGTTGGTTTGTCTGACTCTATTGGCTGTCAAGTTGGCAAAGAGAAAAGGCTCAGATGTCGGGAACAATACTGCAAAATACACTGATAGCTGATGGTGGATAACAAGCACATTTTTGACTGCGAAATAGCAGCCAACTCTGTGAAACTGTGACAATCTAAATAACTTATTTAATAAGTTCTGCGTTTTGGAGCATTTTCGACTTAAATGTTTTTTTAATAGAGGATTATTTTTTAAATTGGATAACCAACTGTATGCAGATTTTCCTAGCGTGTTACATCTTTTTCATTCCCAAGCAAGCTCGGTTGATTTCCATTTGGCTTATGCCACATCTCTGGCTCTTTAAATTGGCCTAATACGCTTAGGTCCTTATCGTTTTGTATTTTTGATTATCCTGATTTATGGCCCCGACTTCCGCTTTGCCGGATTTACATGGCAACCAAAATTTATGGCCGGCAGCGGTTGACGGAAAACTTACCCGTTTCATGGCTGCTGACGTTAAGTATTCGACTAGTTGGCTGCTGGTTATTTGTTTGGCTACTGCTGCTGCTTCCCGCTTGCTGCCGTTGGCGAACTGATGCCACCTCCAACGCCCACTGGCCATTTTATAATGGCAGGGCAAAAGGGCCATCGCCAGAACCAGACCACACCTGATATGCCGGCCAGCAGCTTTCAAATTTGTTTAGTTAAGGTTACAAATGACCTTCCCCGCCACTGATACAGATGCAGATGCAGATGCAGATGCAGAAGGGGATAAATTGCAGCCGCACTGCAGCATTCACTTTTGAGCAATGGCAGTGCGAAATGGTCACCCACTGGGCCAAAACGATGTGGGCGGCCAATCGGTTGACGCTTATGAAAACGGCCAGCAAACATTGCCTACGGAAATTGGAAATAGGCCTGTCTTTGTGGCGCTCTGGTCTCATGAATTCGAAATTTTGCAATCCCTCATCCGACCGAGATCCGATTGCAAATGCTCCAAAAAACCAGGCGTTGGCACAGGAAGGGAAAAATGGGAAAAGGGGGAAACTCGATAGCTGGCCACAAGTAAGTAACAGAGGCGCCGGGCTGGAACCGTCACCTTAATGGACCGCCCCTGTAACCAGGCACACTTTATCGATTATCTGGATTCATTATCCGACGCTATGCGAAGTTTTTCATCATCATGCGTAGTAACGAGAGCTGTGGCTCATTTGTTGTCTTTTGCGGAGATAGTTTGTAGGAAGTGGCGATCTGGTCAACGGATGTGGGTTTTGGGTGGCTTCGTTGGCTTCACGCAATGCAGGTGATTGGTTTATGATTCGATGTAGCTAGTTACGCAGCTTGCCAGCTTCCAATTAGGATTTTATTGGGAGTGGTAATGGAAACACGGCATTTACAAACCGGAGTTTCAAAAATTTCCTGCTTTCATTCAAACATTTGCGGCTACGAAGTAAATGACTTTTTATGAAAGTTCAAATATTATCCGCTTTGGTTTTGTCCCTATTTTGTTTGTGCTGAAATACCTTTTATATCCCTTGAATTATTGCATGCATTTTAATTTTATGTATAACTTGAACGACTTTTTGCGACTCACAAACTTTAAAGTTAGGTAGACTTCGAGTTTTAATAGATATTATTAGTAGGTCATGGAAGTTGGATTTGTGAAAACAACTTTGGGTAACAGATTGTGACTAATAGTAACTAGAAATCAGCCAAGTGACCACAAATAGTAACTGATAGCAACCTAAACAATGATTCAGTATGATTATTCAATGGTTTGCTTTTCCACAGCCTTAAAAATAGTGACAAATAGTACCAAGTGCGCCAGCTATCAGTGGAATCTATAGTAAAGATTAATCATTTATGAGACACTCATATATAAAGTTGGACACATTAATGGGCGGCCCGTTAACTCGGCTTTGGGATGCGTACTAACTTCATCAGCTGCAAAAACAAAAGTGGGCCCAAACATCAGGCAGAACATCTGTGTCAGTGCGTTCATAAACAAAAAGAAATCTCCAACGTGATCCAAACAAGGGGGTTTCCCAACAATAACAGGAGCCGAGCCAAAGGAAAACCCAAGCAAAAAAGCACCGGAAACTGGCTGGAAAAAACTGTCCTGCATGACTAAAATACAAGAGTAAAAGCAGGAGTGGCGCTGCACTTGAAAAAAACTTAATGGCTTAAAAATGACTCTCTATTAAATAATTTGACTTTAAAAGGAAAAGTTTGTTCTTGGGAGCTCACAGTTTTCTGGGAAATTGTCAAAACCCCGTTAGAACTGAGGGCTTACATATTTTTTCGCAGTGCAGAGACAGCGAAAAAAGCTAAAGACCTGATCCGCTCTGTTATTCATGCCGTGGAGCATAGTTTTAGGCGCCGCCAGTTCGGTTGTCCAACATGTTGGACACTTTTTCCAACCACCCAACCACCAACCACCAAACCCCCAGTTTTTCCAGCCCTTCCCCTTTCCCTGCCCTTCTTCCATCGCCAGCTTTGTTTGTCTTTGATGCGCGTTTTCCGCTTGTTTTTCTCGCTGGACGGGGAAAATTGAATGCCCAACAGCCGACAGTCGGCCACGTTGTAATTGAGTTGGCCGTGTGGTATGGGAAAATAGTTTCGCCAATTCCGACACGAATCGCAATGCAGTCGCACATGGAAAATCCCTATCCCTGCGCCGCGTACATCGGGCCAATTTGCCGGGGGGTAATTAATCATTTTTCACTTTTTCATGCGATACAGAAAATGCGCTCAGCAATTTCTCGCCATTTGCAACTGCCAAAAGGCAATTAGAGTCGACACATTCACTGTATTAGCGTTCATTAAATAATCACATGCAATTGCCACCGTAATTTCAATTAAGTTTCTTGTGTGTCTGCTGGCTTGATCCTATTTGTTTCAATTAAATTGCGTGCAATTAAATGCAAACGAAATTTATTAGGTTTTCATATCAAAGATAGAAAATTGGAGCAGGCTAAAATTTTTGCAATTTATGGAATAAATGCCGAAGAGGTTAAAACTAGTGAAAAGTTCATTAAAGTGCATTTTCACTTTTAAATATTCACGTAGCTTTAAAATTGATAGTTGCCTAAAACCTTAATGGAGTTTTATAAAATGTTGAAAATAAGAGCTGACTTCTGTGGCATATGCAACACCAGGAGCCGCACAAATTGCAACGAAAAGTGTGATTTAGGCATGCCCGTTCTGAATTCCGCAGGGCTTGGCAATCAAATTGTGTTTCTGGTCAGAGGAGGCCATTCAATCTGCGGCAGGAGGACTCGTGACCAGATCTCAGATCTGCGTTTATATCGGGAGCTGCATGGCTCCTCGAACTGATGCCACCAATGCCAGGGCCCTGATTGAGTGGAAGCCTCTACGGGGGCTTTTTAGACAGACAGGCGGGCTCGGTGGAGTGTTTCAATTTATTTTTCATATTTTTGTTTAACCGCTTTTTGTTTTACTTTCCGATTTGAGGCAGGCGAAATTCCCCCGGCTGGCGCACAAAATGCCAAAAGTTAAAATAAACAGCAGCGCCAGGAGTGCGGCTCTGCGAAGGCAGCCAGTCGCCAGGAGCAAGGACAACATGCAGGAAGGCAGGAAACACTTGAAAAAGTGTGCCAACAATATTCCTGCCATCTCTCGCCACTCGGTGTCTGTGTGCTTTTGTGCTGCGAGTATTGAAAAGGAAATGAATGGCAGGCAGAAAAAGTTAAATCACCTCCAGCAATTGGGCCTGCTGTGGCGCCCAACTCTATGGATGGTTCTAAATGGGTGACTCGGCGGTTGGGCTGCTGGATTGTGTGGCCCGTATGGTGAGTGCTGCTCCCTGGGGTGGCGTATGCGCCATATTCCTCTAAGCTGCGGCTTGAGTTGCCACATTTGTCGCATTTCCTACTGTCCTCTGTGTGCGATTCTATTTTATTTCATTTCATTTTTTCGCATTCTTTCTCGATTTGGTTCTGTTTTTCGATTTGCTATTTGCCGTGGGAAATTGCTTTCAATAATGACGCAAAGTGTTACTGGGGGGATATTTTAATGGTTGCTTGGGCGCTGTGCGTTCGACAGATAGCGCCATCTGTGGGCGACAAATTTTACTGACGCAACCCCTTATCGCACCTCTCACACAGCACTGAGAGAAACGCGTGTGTTTCAGGTGATCACGCTGTCCTGAGTCAATATTACACTATTTTTCAACCTAGAAGAATCATATAATAAACTATTTAAGATGTACAAAAATCAATGTTTGTAAGATGATTGGCTCAGTGTAGTATCGACATCACTTCAGGCAATTTGCTCGCGCACTCATCTCTGCGTTGGCATCAATAAATTGCCGCGGTAGCGTTGCGTGGCGTGTCCTTGGCCACATCCTACTCCTTCTTGCCACGAGTCCTTGGACAAGTGTGCGCCAACATTTGCGCGGCGCCTCTTTCCTGGACACTTATGCAGTCCGTTGTCCATCGCACTTTTCCGGCATGCAACGCCAAGGGCTTTTCCTCATTTGCATTACAAGTAAAAGGCTCGCCGTCCACTGAAATATTTTTAAATATATTTTCCATTTCCACAGCGGCATATTCGCGTTGCAAGCGGTTTTCAGTTTCGAGATGCTATCACGTTTCATCTTCACAGCATCCACGTCGATTCACTTAAACTTATTCGCGGATGCTTTACTCAAAAATATAAAAAAAGAGTCGAGTGAATTACGCACCTTTCAAATTGACGTTGACCAAACAAATTGTAATATAATATATATATATATAAATACAAGTTTGAAAGGTGCGTAGCTCATTTGACTTCTTCTTATATATTATACTTATATAATATTTTGCATCTACAGGTTACATATTAAGGTTTTACATATCACACGTCTAAGCTAAAAAGAATCTAGGAAATATAATAAGAGTTATACTTATGATTATATTCACTTTAAAAAAGTTAAAGTAGTTAAAGTATCTTTTAAAACCCTTTCGCGATAATACTTTAAGTTCTAGGGTACGCCCAGTAATTTCTCATCAAGTAACAGGGAAACGTAATGCGGTGGAAAAATTTCAGAATTCAATTATTCCCGCTTGGTAAGAGGTTTAATTAAAAATCAGCCATATAATGTGCGTGCGAGCTCCGGGTGCTTAAAAATTGAGCATCGATTCACTGTGGCTTTTAAGTTTGATTAAATTCTGCTGATGAAAAGGGCAAGGCATCCGAAAATGTGTTTGCATCACGTACACATTTTGGGTGCCCAAAATGGCCCCAAATAACAAATTCTGGGTCCCTCGTCATAAGCTAATAACAGAAAAAGTATACGATACGATATGAATTTAAAGTGACAATAAAACAATTTAAAGGACCATTTGCAAACTATGAAAAATACAACTTACATGCACTTCATTTATATTTTTCATTGATTGGCGCACAATTTACTATTTTAATTGCAGCAACACAAAGCAGCCGGATTCCATTGAGATTTATGCAAGGTTTATGGCAACAAAATTTACAAACCGAAATCAGAATTAAAATTGTGTATACGTAAACAATTCATTTAACTATTGTATAATGTGCCATTGCTGTTCGGTCGAAACATCTGAATGTCCGTGTGGCAAACTGTTTATTTGCGTATCACGACGGGGCCAATTAATGAAATTTCATTTTCCCGCGTTGATTGCTCCACTTTTGGCCCATTTCAGGGGGCCAGAATCAATAACAATACGGTGGCCGGGTCGTGAAATCCATTTAACATTTAATTAAACAGCCGCTCTATATACCTCTTGCCCGCACCACAACGGCAAAGAGGGAATAGGCCATCTTCAGGGTGGCGAAAAAGGCATTCAAATTCAGTTCGATGAGCCCTCCTGCCATGATGACCCACCCCCTGTTCCCCATGGTCAACTGTGTGAAGACGAGCAAGTCGAATCGATGATCCCGAGACTGATCGTACCATCTGCTGGAGAAGATCGCATATGCGAGCCGTTCCACCTCCTCGGCCACCTCGCTGGCGAAATAGCAGCTGGGAAAGAGCTGCATGCAGACCACTCCGAAGAAAACCAAGTAGTAGACCAGCGAGATGGTGTCGCCCACAAAGAAGAGCATGTAGGACACAATGATGCACAGAGTGGCGCCACATCCGCCCAGCTGCACCAGTTGAACCTCGCTGATGGTCCGGCGCACCAGCCGGTGGAATCTGCGAGGTCGGCAAGAATTTAAATGGCATTGCAGTTAAAGTGAATAATCCCGGGATAAGTTACCTCACCAAGAGTTTGTGCTGCTCAATGTACTCCAGCAACCGCTGATGATCCGTCGCCGTTTCGTCCTCGAAGTGTCCCAGCTGGCTCATGCGAATGGACCACAAGTGGACATGTCCGGCCAGAAAGCATAAGGTCAGAGGCGTATAGGTGTCGTTGCCCAGACCCTGGAAGCCTTCGACTATGAGGCTCATTACCTGATAGCCCATGGCCACTGCGCCGAGGTAGCTATTGTTCTCGAAGTCGAATGGGAAATAGGCAGGGTAGATAAGTTCCCATTTTCTGCCGATAATCTGTGCGAAAACGCCGAACAGGAAAACCGCATAAACCATGCCAAAACTGACATAGAGGCATCGTGTGAAGCGCCGGGCATGGCAATACACGTGGTCCTGATAGTAGCGGTGCTCCTGATCGCTGGCTATAAATGTGTCTAGTTGCCCGATCAGGGATTCGATCTCCACAATCTGCGGCAAGTGGTACAAGTGGGCCACGTGCTTCAGACTGCAGGCCAGGCAGGTCAAAGAGATGGTCAGGTTCTTCATGAAGTCAGCCGCAGAGGGACGCAACAGCAGATGTAGCAGCATGTGCAGTGGAAACCACAAGGTGACCAGGATATTCAGCAACACCACATAAAGCTGGACAGTACGCGGGCAATCCTTGAAGAAAGTCGGCACCAGCAATCGCATGCAGATCCAGAAGGGACGGTAAAAACTAAGACTATCGATAATGACCATTGTTCACCTTTTGCATATTTCCCAGCAAGGTTGAAGCTTTTATGCAGATGCCATGAGAGGATACACTGCGAGAAATGATACCACTTCGACAAGATTTTCAAATATTCACAAAGATTTATTAAACTGTAATGTTATGTTGAGCTGCATCGCAAAATCACTATTTTATTACAAAATTGTATTCCGTCTTTGATAAAAATAAACCAAATGTATACAAGGAAGGTAGAAAAAACTGTAGTTTAGTTTTCAACCAACCTTTTGAATTTATTACTTCGCTGAGTGTAAATTCAGGTGCATAATCCGCACTAAATGGCATTTAAACGCCGCCAATGCAATTTTCATGAGGCGCGCGTTAATGGCCGCCATTAGTGGTAATTAAAATTAAGCGAATATGCAAATTTGTGGGCCAAACGCGTTGTGGGCCCACTTATTAACGCAGCGACATGGCCAGAGTGAAGAAGGAGTAGGCCAATCGCACGGTGGCAAAGAAGGCGTTCATTCCGATGCCAATCATGCCACCGGCCTTGATTTGCACCTCCGCCAGGGTGAGTTGCATGAAAATCAGCAGGGTGCGGCTGTACACCCGATCCATTTTCATCCAGTTGCTCGAATAAATCGCATAGGTCAGCTGGTTCATCTCCACGGATATCAGGGTGCCGTAATAGCAGCACGGGAACAGCTCCAGCACCATCGATAGGAAATACACTCCGTAGTAGATTACAGCGAAATGATTCTCCGCAAAGAACAGAATATTGATAAGCGATATGGAGATATTGACTCCACTTGAAATAAACTGGCCGAGCTGCGAAATGTTCATGGTGTTGCGCAGTAGCTCCACTATTCTGTAAAAAATATTTAATATAATATAAAACAAGTTGGAAAGCTATAGTCGAGTTCCCCGACTATCAGATACATATTACTCAGCTAGGGGACGTGCACAAGGGAAATTTCAACATTTTCTGGAATATCGGTAGAAATTAGGGAAAAAATTTAAATATATAAATACTTTATATGGTCGGAAACGTTTCCTTCTGCCTGTTAATTACTTTTCAACGAATTTAGTATACCCTTTTACTCTGCGAGTAACGCGTATAATTACAAAAACACTTAAAAAAAAAAACAAATATAAACACTTTATAACAAAAAATTTTCCTTTTTGAACACTTTAAAATAAAAAACAAACAACAAAAATAAACAACAAACTTTACAATATAAAATTTTCCATTTCTATGCAAACTATGCCATTTTACATAGATAATTTACTTTATAACTTTATAACACATAAGAACGATATTATTTTATATGCATTTCTAGTTTACATACAATTATCTATGTAAAATTGCATAGTTCCCTGTTTTCCAGTAGTTCCATGATCAGAGCGAAAGAGAGCAAAGTTCCGTTGGATCGTCGCTTATTCCATTTTCTTCCTCTCCTCTAAGTTCGCCGTTACCTGCCAGTTCTTAGCTGCGCATTTCTCAGACGGTTGCTTTTTCGCGTCACGTGTTTCAACAAGTTTAATTAAACTAAAAGCGGTCGGAATTAGTTAAAACTTGTGTTAATACTAAGTAATCTTTATCGCTCTGTTTAATCAATCGCTCTGTTTCGATTTTGAGTAATTAAAGAACCTGCAAGAAGTGAAAAAACCCGTGCGTCGCTGCATACGTGTGTGTATGTGTGTGAGCTTCAGAAAGTGGCAGCTGCCAATTTTATGTTAAATAAACATCGAGAGGGAGTTATTTTACTTAAAATGAAAGCATTGTCGGCTATTTAGTATGTTAGTAATAACGTGCGAACGCAAAATGCAATATAATATTCGAATTTACGGTTTTTAATTTAGGCATTCAAGCGGGTGACGCGCGTTTTCATGTGTGTGTGTGTGTCTCGATGCGACAAGTTCGCTGTGTTTTAAATCCGCCGTGCTCCTACTTCGCCGTGCATAAATGCAGGTGTGTTGGCAATGATGCGAAATTCGCCGCAACGCGGTCTTTTTTTTATGTTCCATTTTTTTTGGGTGGTATTTTCTGCGCATAAATTTATTGAAATTTTAACATCTTGGTGTTTTAAAATAAAGGCAATTCCTCATAATTAGAGTGAAATTTCCCATTGTAAAGTGTTTATTTTTGTTTTTTATTTTAAAGTGTTCAAAAAGTGTAATGGAAAATTTTATATTATTATAAAATAAATTAAAAATTACTGCAAAATCACATAACATACATATTTAAATCATTCCTGATTTTAAAGCTGTCAATCAAAAAAATTACAAAAAAATAAATTTATAAATTTGAATGCAGCATTTAAGAGAATTGCGCCAGAACATTTAGAGGTATGTCACTTTAAAATCCGATTGAGATAAGTTGAGTTATGGAGTTTAGAACTTCAGCCTTAGGACACTTTTAAATTTTTTTAAATTTCTATTACATCATCCATCAAAAAATTACAAAAAAATTAAAAAAAAATTAATTTTTTAATTTGAATGCAGTTTTTTAGAGAATTGCGCTAGAAACATTTAGAGGTATGTCACTTCAAAATCCGATTAAGATAAGCTGAGTTATGGAGTTTAGAACTTCAGCTTTGGGACAATTTTAAATTTTTTTGAATTTCTATTACATTATCCATCAAAAAATTACAAAAAAATTAAAAAAAAATAAATTTCTAAATTTGAATGCAGTTTTTTAGAGAATTGCGCTAGAAACATTTAGAGGTATGCCACTTCAAAATCCGATTAAGATAAGCTGAGTTATGGAGTTTAGAACTTCAGCTTTGGGACACTTTTAAATTTTTTTGCATTTCTATTACATCATCCATCAAAAAATTAAAAAAAAATAAATTTCTTAATTTGAATGCAGTTTTTTAGAGAATTGCGCTAGAAACATTTAGAGGCATGCCACTTCAAAATCCGATTAAGATAAGCTGAGTTATGGAGTTTAGAACTTCAGCTTTGGGACACTTTTAAATTTTTTTGAATTTCTATTACATTATCCATCAAAAAATTACAAAAAAATTAAAAAAAAATAAATTTCTAAATTTGAATGCAGTTTTTTAGAGAATTGCGCTGGAAACATTTAGAGGTATGCCACTTCAAAATCCGATTAAGATAAGCTGAGTTATGGAGTTTAGAACTTCAGCTTTGGGACACTTTTAAATTTTTTTGAATTTCTATTACATCATCCATCAAAAAATTACAAAAAAATTAAAAAAAAATAAATTTCCTAATTTGAATGCAGTTCTTTAGAGAATTGCGCCAGAAACATTTATAGGTATGCCACTTCAAAATCCGATAAAGATAAGTGGAGTTATGGAGTTTAGAACTTCAGCTTTGGGACACTTTTAAATTTTTTTGAATTTCTATTACATCATCCATCAAAAAATTACAAAAAAATTAAAAAAAAATAAATTTCTTAATTTATATGCAGTTTTTTAGAGAATTGCGAAACATTTACATTGCGAGAAACATTTAGAAACAACAAAGAAGAATGAGTATTAAAGATTTGTTGTAAAGTTGATTTCTATGATTCTGCAGATTCATAAAAACCGCATATATTACTTCATCAGTTTCCGGTGGTCCTCGATGCCTTCGATTAATTGTTTTGCGATTGAGTACTTTGTTTCCTCCGGACCTTGGCCAATTATACTCAAACGCATTGCCAAAAGTCGTACATGACCGGCCACCACGCAAAATGTCATCGGTGGATAGGAATCATTGGCCAGATTCTGAAGTATTGCCAAACTTACTCCGGCAATTTGGTAGGTTACACTTAGCCAATATATTAGTTCCGAGGCCTGCACATCGTATGGGAACCAGGCTGGATATAATAGCTTATGTCCACCGCCGAAAAGTACTGATGCTATAGCCGAAATATTTGATAGTCCATAGGCCGCAATGAAACTTTTCCAAATGAAATTCGCCTCACGTCTCGTATTTTGATTGAAAAACTCGCATTCCTCTTGACTCAAGGCTCGCTGATCCAGCTCCTTAAATAATATTTCGACTTCTTTTATCTCAGATAGCTTGATTCGGAAACAAATAAATTTAAAGCTGGCGAAAAAGCAGGCCGCCGTGATTGGAATACCCTTGCAGACATCCCCAAGAGATCTTTCCATAAACAGTCCCAAAATCAGATGAATTGGATACCAGATGGTTACGAAAGCTGTAATCACCATATCCAGCAAGCGATTCAGAAAGAAATGGCTTTCCAGGCCCAACAGATGCCAGTATAACCAATAGGTTCGGTAGATTTGTTCACTTCGTATTACCGGCGGTTTGAAGTCCATGTTCGAAACAATTAAATAGGTTCTGCGGCATTTCCTCTTTTATACTAGGCCTTCTAAATGGCTTAATTATAGTCCTAAAACGTTACGCCCATCAATTTACTGCGACTGTGCTAACCCTATAATTTGTGATTCAATTCACACCTTTTCTTGGGTAACAATCGGCTGGGAAATTAACAATTTGGTGGCGGCAGCGTAAATAGAAATTTTTGCTTTGGTTAATACAATTTTATAGACCAAAGAACTGTGCAAAAGAGTTACATTTTTATTTAGATATTTGGGTGTTGTCTGTGAACAATAAAGGGACATGTTATGAATGATTTATTTGCTAAGTAGTAGCTTTTTGATATTTCCTAGACAGTGGGTTTTTCAATAATTTAACACGCTTTTTTTTAAAGCCCTTAGGCCGTACATTTGTTTTCCTATAATCGAAATGACAAGGCTAAGGTGTAAAAGGAATATGCCATCCGAACTGTTGCAAAAAACGCACTCATATCGATGCCAACAATACCCCCTGCCTTTATATTAACTGGAACCAGCGTCAGTTGCATCAGTATTATCAAGGTTCGATTGTATCTTTTATCCATTTTCAGCCAGTTGCTGGAAAAGAGGGCATACGGCAGCTTATCAAACTCCATTGTCATCAGAGTTCCGTAGTAACAGCTTGGAAATAGTTCTATTAACATCGCAGCAAAGAACACGGCGTAATATATCATTGCAAAGTGGTTTTCCGC